CAGACACGGACAAATTGAACATGAAAAACTTCAGGCCAATATCGTTATTAAATAACGACTATAAAATATACGCGGACATCATGGCGAGTAGGTTGAAAAAATGCTTAACTAAGTTAATCCATAAAGATCAAGCGGGTTTCCTCCCAAATAGATTCCTGAAAGATAATGTGAGGCACGTAATTAACTTAATTGAATATTTGGAGTTTAACAATAATATTCCGGCGTCCCTGATCTTTATAGACGCAGAAAAGGCGTTTGACAACGTCTCCTGGCGGTTTCTGTTAAAATCAATGGAAAAGGCAGGGATTGAGGGCGAATACCTGAAAGGAATACAAGCAATATATTCACACCAACACGCCAAATTGATAATAAACAACAATATTACGAATAGATTCAAAATAGAGAAAGGAACAAGGCAGGGATGCCCTCTCTCCCCGCTTTTATTTATTCTGGCTTTGGAAGTCCTGGCGAACAAAATAAGGTCAGAAACGGAGATAAAAGGGATTAAAATAGGATTTAAAGAGTATAAATTAAAAGCTTATGCGGACGACCTGATGTTGTCCCTAGAAGAGCCGCAAAAAAGCTTAGGCAAAGCATTGGAGATTATGGAGGAGTACGGCAAAATATCGGGCTTTAAATTGAATAAAACCAAAACAAAAATGTTGACGAAGAACTTGAGAAATGATTCAAAGGAAAGTTTAGAGAGACAATATGGAATTAAGGTGGCTAAGAAATTAAAATATTTAGGAATTTGGCTTACGCCCAAAAACATAAATCTATTGAAGACAATTATACGCCGATTTGGAATAAAGTGAAAAAGGATTTGGATGTTTGGAATAGAGCGAATCTCTCGTGGTTGGGCAGGATGGAAGCAATAAAATGAATATACTCCCTAGGATGTTGTTCCTATTTCAAAATATACCGGTTATCAGAGGCACTAAAGTATTCAAGGATTGGCAGAAGACCCTCTCAAAATTTATATGGCAGGGAAGAAGGCCAAGGATCAGATTCAAACTATTAACGGATCGAAAGGAGAGAGGAGGTTTGGCAGTACCTGACTTAAAATTATACTATGAAGCGGCATGTCTTTGCTGGATTAAAGACTGGATTACTTTAGAAGACACGGATTTATTAGACCTGGAAGGGGCTGACAATAGATACAGTTGGCATGCCTACCTCTGGTCAAATAAAGGAGAAGTACACAAAAGGTTCTCGAGCCACATTATAAGAGGTCCGCTGTATAAGGTATGGCAAAAAAACAAGAAATTGCTGGAGTGGAGAACACCCTGGTGGCTATCCCCAACGGATATTTTGTCAATTAAAAGAATAAATATGGAAGAGCGAAAACTGACATATGAAGATCTATTAGTAAGATCCCAAGACAGCTGGAAGCTAAGACCATATGAAGAACTAAAGGAGAAGTTGACGGGTTGGATACAGTATCACCAAATTAATGCAAAATGGACAGAGGATAAAAAAATAGGAATGAATGAAAAGAAGTCTAAATTTCAGACCGAAGTAATTGAAAGCAAATCAAAGATATTATCCAAGATGTACAACATACTACTGGAATGGGAAACTAAAGATGAAGAGATTAAAGAAGTTATGGTTAAGTGGGCGATCGATCTGGGGCATACTATAGAATATGAAAAATGGTCAAAATTGTGGAATGAGGGACTGAAATTCACGGCTAGCGCTGCAATAAGGGAGAATCTGGAAAAGATGATTTATAGATGGTACCTAACACCAGAAAAATTGAGTAGAATGTATAAGACTGCAGACAAGGTTTGCTGGAAATGTAAAACAAAAGAGGGTAATTTTATACATATGTGGTGGACATGTGAGGAAATCAAAAAATTTTGGGACCAGATTTATAATGAGCTAAAAAAGATACTCAAATACACATTCCCCAAATGTCCAGAGGCCTTCTTATTAGGGATGGTTGGGAAAGAAATCCAGGGAAAAGATAAATCTTTATTTCAATACGCAACAGCAGCGGCCAGGATGTTAATCGCCCAAAATTGGAAAGGTACAAATCTCCCAACGGTGAGAGACTGGCAATTAAAACTATATGACTTTATTGAACTGGCTAGGATGACACAAAGAATTAGAAATCATAAAAATACAAAGCTAAAAGAGGATTGGAACAAGTTTATGGTTTATTTTGAAGGTAATTTAAAAAACTTACCAAGTACAGTAGGTCTGTTTTAAAATCTTCGATGTGCAAATCAAAAAACGTATCTGTATACCAGCGGAAGAAAGGAAACTATTGAAAGTTAAAACCCGAAATCAGTAGGGAAGGAAGTCGTTGTTTTTATTGTTTCTTGTTTGTAGTTTTTTGTCTTTTTTCTTTTTGTTCTTACCTGATTTTTTTCTTTTTTCACACCACTTTCTTTTTTCTTTTCTTTTTTTATTATTTAATATGTACTTGTTTTTCTTTATGTGGGAATGTATTTGCCTTTCCTTTTTGTGTGGATAAAAGGTACTCAATAAAAAGAATTTAAAAAAAAAAAAAGAAGGTTGACGGTTCGAATCCCCACGACGGGGTGAGCTCCCGTTGCTCGGTCCCTGCTCCTGCCAACCTAGCAGTTCAAAAGCACGCCAAAGTGCAAGTAGATAAATAGGTACCGCTCCGGCGGGATTGTAAACGGTGTTTTCGTGCACTGCTCTGGTTCGCCAGAAGCAGCTTAGTCATGCTGGCCACATGACCCAGAAGCTGTACGCCGGCTCCCTCAGCCAGTAAAGTGAGATGAGCGGCACAACCCCAGAGTCGGTCACAACTGGACCTAACGGTCAGGGGTCTCTTTACCTTTACCTGAAGAATATAGAAGCAGATTGTTCACACCAGTTCCTGTTACCTTCCACAATTCCCATTGATGCTACCCAGTTCAGCCTGGATTTTTTCCTTAATACAAAAATGCTGCCTGAGGAGCTACTTGCATGGGAACACCCACCTGACACATAGGATGATCTGGGGTGGGGAATCTTTGGTCCTCCAGATGTTTTTGAACTACAATGCCCATCAGCCCCAGCAAACATGGCCAATGGATGTTGAAGTTTTGTAACATTCGGGGGGGGGGGGGCGGGTAGGCTGAAGGCATGTTTCCCTTCCCTGAAACATATCCCCAGGGCTGCAGAGGAGATGACAGTAGTTTTCTGATGGTTCTGGGTTGGGAACAGAAAGTATTCCTTACTTGTTCTTCAGGATGCAGAAATCACCAATTACTTAGAGGAACAGGACCAGCCAGTTTTGCCCTACCTTTCCTACTAGCAATGGCTTTTAATTTAGATGCATGGGATAATTGGGGGTAGAGAGGAGTTGGGAGTGGAGTAGACTTTCATCCTTTCCCTTTATTATCATCAGCTTTCTTTTGTAAGCACATGGAAGAGTAGCAAGCAAAGCATTATTATCTGAACCCCATTTACTGCCGCAGCTCAGTTTTGCGCTCTCTAGCAAAAGCGTGAAGAGGATGGTGATGGAATAAACAGCTCATACTGCTCTTCTGAAGGTACTGAGAGCAAAGGAAATGGCAGTCAGATTGTTCAGGGGCAGCAACGAGAGTGTACGGAAAATAGATCCAGGACCTAGTAATTTTGGTTACAAATGTCTTCAAAATGCAAGGGGGAAGAGAATAAAAGAAACAATTTAACTGTCTGTCCAACCACCCTTCTCTCTTTTAATATTTATTAGCCTGGTATATCAGGAGGAGGATATACAGGTGGAGAACCCAACTCTCCTTCCTTTGGTACCCAGGCAGTGTAGCATAATGATTATGGTGTCATAGTAGGGGAACCAAAAACTCACTGGGCATTCTTAGGCCAGTCACACTCAGCCTAGCCTACAGGATAAAGTGGAGCAGAGGGAAGGCAGAAAGTATGTATGCTGTCTTGAGCTTCTTAGAGGGAAGGTAGGACACAAACAAATGAATGAGCCTCTTGCATAGAATCATAGAATGAGACGAGTAGATTTTCATGTTTTCCACTTTCCACCTTATCAACTGAATCACTGCATCTTGCTGTAATCGGTGAATGCATAACTAAGCCTACTTTACCAAAAAAATCTACACTTTTCCACAAAAAGCATTGGTTGTAAAGCAAGCTCCCCCATGGAGCAACATGAAGTCTGCACAAACTCATACTTCATAGGAGTCCTTGGACATTAAGCAAGCCTTCCTGTGCAAGTAGACCACCATAAGAGACAAGCAGTATACAGCATATCACTAGAAAGCAATTTATTAATACTGTCAGCCAGAACATCTGCATTTCATTTCCAAGTGGCATCTATCATCTCTGAAAGGACTGATAAGGCGATCTACGCAGGGATCTCTCAACTTTTTTTATTTCATTAAAATTGGCAGGTGGGAGGTTTGGATTGGATCCACAGCACTGTGAGGGTTAGCTGTTTCCATGATAAAAAAGTCTCCCTGGAGCAGCTTATTCACTGGGGGTGGGACCCACATTTACCCCTTGAGGCAGAAAATTTATATTGGGGGAATCTGATTTTAAGAAGTTACAAGAACTTCAATCAGGGTCCTGACATTCTCATGTCCAGTTTGTCCCTAAGAGGCACTCTTGAGCAAAGTGCAGTTCCACCCTCATTCTGATCCTCAAACTCAGGAAAGAGATGTTTTACTTTGGATGAAATTCCCCTTCCTATAGGAAAGAAGAAGCAGTTAAGACTGCAGGCTATTTCCAAGCACGTTCCTCTTGTCACTCGAATTTTGGTGCAGTAGATGGGGCAGATTCATCACCACCTTTGTCTTTAGAAGTGGGACAGACTAACCAGCAAGATGACCAGCTGACAGTTTAAGGAACCATTTCTGCCAGGGTGCTCTGCTGAGGTAGTAATTCAGAAAAAATCAGAAGAATAGGATAGAGGAAAACAATGGTTTCTATTTGTCCAGGTTCCTGACAGAGGCTTCCATCTGTTCACAGCTGAAGTCTGTTGCTGAAGATTCCACTTTCTCCCTTCTGCTGGCAAAGATTTAAATGATGTCAGCTTTTTTTGTTTTCAAGTTTTATTTTTAAAGGGATTACATGTAGAGAAGCCTTTACCTGGTAAGTGAGCCCTTAGGGGAAAATATCACCATATACACAGTTCTGTCCTTGGATTCACAGTATAGCTTCTTGACTTACATGCTTCCACAGTTAAAAGAAATTTGGTCAATGCTTTCGACTTCACTCTCTAGCTGATGATACTAAAGCAGGCCTACTTATCAGCATGGATCAGCTCCGGGAAGGTAAAACCAACCTTGTCTTCTCTTTACTCCCACCTCACAGTTCTGCCGTTTCCCCCATTTTCCTATTTAGAAAAAGCCCGATCACATTAGCTCTTTCTACTTAGGCAACTAACTCACCCACTAGCCTTGGGCCACACTTTACAAAAGAAAGCACTTCTAGAGTTTCTCCCTATCTATTCACAGTGCAGTTTCCAAGCCCATGATACCGAGAAGAGGTTCCAGACCCTCCCAAGTGCTCCAACAAAGGTTTAACTAAATTACGAGGCAGACACATCCCAACTTAGTCAGGACCATTCTGTAAAAAGGAAAAGAAGGGGGGAAAAACCCTCCCCGAGTAGGCAGGGCTCCCATATAAAGACACCAGTCTGCATTGTGTCGCAGGCAAAGTCTATGTTCCTTATAGAGAGATCAATGGAGTCCCAGAAGTTCCACTCAGTAGAGGCGAAGGGGAAGCAGGGGAAGTATATGAGTCTGTGGTGACTCCCCCATTATTGCTGTTCCTCCTTTTCTTGTCAAAGCTGTAGCACCTTCCAAGATAACTCCGTGGCAGGACTTTACCGGAGGCTGCTGCTGCTGCTGGCCTGAGAGCTGCCCACACCAGGGTGTTCAGGGCTATGCCGATTCTAAAGAAAAATAAAATGGACACACATGCAAGAATGAGAATGAAAGTTCTCAACAATAATGAAAGGCCAGGAGAAAAGGCCCCACATCTCAGTCAGTTCTCTGGCACCTGAGGGTACAATTACTTGAGCTGGTGGAAGCATTCTTCCCAACTTACTTTCTTTTTCTTCTTCTCCTTCTTCTTCCTTTTCCGCTCAGGGTCATCCTCTTTCTTCTTCTTTTTCTTCTTGTGGTCAGAATCTGAAGGAGTTTCTGCCAAGAAGAGAAAAGGAACTGAAGCAGGAACTTTGGATGAAGCAGGAATTGCGGTAGCTTAGGCCACCTGACTGTGGAATGCTAAATTGGAAAGGAAGGGCTGGGGTTGGTGAGGGCAAATGCAGCCACAGGGCCCAAGGAGGAAGCTTCTTACCTGGAGGGACAGGATCCTGCGTACGACTCTGCTTGTGTTTGTGCTTGTTTTTTTTCTTAGGTGGCTGGATGTGCATTAAGCGACACTGCTCTGGCAGCTGAAGCAGTGCAAAAGAAACAAAAGAGCACGTTAGTCCACTGAATACCACATCTGTTGTTCCAGAAAATAACCACAGGTGCAATCATTTGCAGGGAGGGGGTTGCTTGTCTCTTTGGTAACCTGGTCCCACCGTTATCCCCCATCAAAACTTGCAAAAAAAGTTTCTATGTTCACTAAGCTTAGTACTTGGGTCTGTTATGAGCTCGGAGCTCCCTAGACTCCTTGGCAATCTACCCTTCACAGAATATGGCTAAAGCATTACTCTGGAATTCACATATGAGTCAACCTTCCTCTTCATACCTGCTCTGCAAAAGAGAGCACTAAATTTGGCAGTACAGTGGTACCTCTGTTTATGAACTTAATTCGTTCCGGAGGTCCATTCTTAACCCGAAACCGTTCTTAACCCGAGGTGTGCTTTGCTAATGGAGTCTCCCGCTGCTGCTGCGCTGTCCCCCACACAACTTCCACTCGCATCCTGAGGCAAAGTTCACTACCCAGAATACCTGCTTCCGGGTTAGCGGAGCTCATAATCCAAAGCGTTTGTAAGGAGGGTGGTATGTAACCCAAGGTTCCACTGTACTTCTGTTTGCGACTCCTCCTGCCTGGGATCCCTCTCTAACTTCAGCCTACCTACTACTGCCTATTCCATCAAGGGAGATGGATCCCATTCTGCTGGACTCTTAGAAGTTTCTCCCAGTACACATATTCTCCAGTGCACCCTAATATCCATTTCCAACTCTGGCATAATTTTTTTGTCATTGAGGACATTCTTTTCCCACCAACAGTCAATATTTCCTTCTTCCCTTGCAGCCCCCACCTCTAACTTACCGGGCCTGCATGGAGACGAAAGCCTGTTAGCATGGTACCGGTGATAGGGTTGAATGAACTGCTGCAGATGGGGGGCTTCTCAATGAGAGAACGCAAGCTGCTGTTGTCATGTGAACCTGGCAAATCTATCATCCCTGGTAGGTCAGGCAGGAAGTTGCTGAGCTTCTCCTTCACCTTTTTGCCACAAAATTTGTTGTAGGCATGCTCCAGGTTGTAGTGGGTGATCAGGTTTGTGCTCCCTGTTAGTTCTGTAGTACCTGGCAAAGAACAAAGGATGTGACAATACTGCCTATGTTTGGCTTGTTGGGATTAACAGGACAAAGGCAGATAGAATCTGGCAAGCAAATCCTTCAAATACGACATTACTTGCACCTGCAACTGACTTCTTTGTTGAGATGACAAGAGGACATGTCCAGCCTCATACACCCAAAATGCTTTTGGTGAAGCCAGATCAAGAAAAAGCTTTGCTCTGCATTCTGAAAATGTACTTCTCTTCTTGATAGGCTGAGGCATCCTGGGAAGAAAATCCCTAAAGTCCTATTCATGTATACTTGAAATTAAGTCCCACTTATGCCATGGGAGGTTGCTTCCAGGTAATGGTTTGTAGGACCCTCGTCTGGTAGAAAAGCAATAGTTTGCACACAACACTAAGCCAAATTATGGCTTCACGCAAATCATGGTTGCGTTGCTTCTTCCTGAGTCCTGCTGATGCACTACTCAAGGTCAAGTTTGGCTATGCATGACATCCAAACCTGGGCTCATATTCTGTCTCTCCCAATAAGCCATGAGCTGTTTGTTGTTGATCACTCATAGTTTGGGGGAGACAACCATGACCCCCGAGTTGGCATGCAGTGCGGAGCCAAACCACAGCCTTTGCTCTGGGAATGCTTGCTCTCGTGTGCTAAGCCAGGTTTTGGCATAGTGTTGTTACATGCTCACTGGGCCCTATTTGCTTATGGTATTTAGACAGTGCTTTTCAGACGGACCTTCCATATAGATTATTACAGCAAGCATCTATTAAAGCAGGAAAGGCAAACAGCTGCTTGCCATGAAGTTAATAATGAACTTCAGCGGCTTCCGTCTCGGCAGGGCCAAATGCGGATGCACAGCATGACCCCGCCTCCCTGTTTTGATCCGGCACCTCATTGGCCCCCGGCAGCTGCCAATCGAAATCCCACCACTACCCGCGCTTCCGCGAAGTCGTCAACTTCGCCTCCTGGGTCTAAGTTCCCACAGGAACAGGGAGGAGTGCCCATCAAGACGCAGCCGCGTATCTCTATTGGGCCATTCCCCCGCGGCGCCTCGTTGGCATTGGCCAAGGATGCAGGGCCCGCCTCTACATTCCGGTAGGCTGAGTCGCCCCCCAAAGCCCGCCCCCTCCAACAGCCACTTACCTGGTAACTCGCGCATTAGGTAGAAGGGGCCGCTGGCGGCCGCCGCTTTCTCTCCGACGGGGGTCACGGCAGGGACGGGAGGTGGCCCAGTCCCCGGTCCTCCGGGTTTCCCTGGTCCAAAGCCCAGCGCGGCGGCTGTGGTAGGCGGAGGCGGTTCCGTCCCTCCGAAGAGAGCGGAGAAATTCTCCATCATCCCGGCGTGCCCCGCGCAATCTCCTCCCATTGGCTTCGCATCTTGGCTGTCCCCTCGGCTCGCCTTGTTTTCATTGGAGGGCGGTGAACCCTCCTCTTACGTATGATTGGCTAACTAACCTGGAAACTAGGCCGCGTTCCGATTGGACGGTGCTCTGCTTTCTCGTGACGTATTTTTAGATGGCGGCATGACGTCGGCAGCATGCGTCGAGAGGCCTCAAAGAAAGCATTCCCCCTAGTTTGTATTCCGAATCCATCCCAGCGATTCTGAAGTCGGCCAATGATAGTGCGCAGTGTTGCTCTAAGCTCCGCCTTTCCGTTGATTGGCGTATCCATTGGCCAGCGAGCCCGAGCGGAGGAACGACGAGCGTGCGCCGCCGGCAGGCGCTAGAAGCAGTCGGCGCGGGGGCTCGGTCAGGGTGAGGTGAAGATGGCGGTGCTTGCTCCGCTGCTGGCCCTGATCTACTCCGTGCCTGGAATCTGCCGGTGGCTGGCGCAGCCCTATTACCCGCTGTCGCTTCTGCTCTCGGCTGCCTTCCTGCTGGTGCGGAAGGTGCCGCCGTTATGCCACGGGCTGCCCACCCAACGCGAGGACGGCAACCCCTGTGACTTCGACTGGGTGAGGAGGCCTTGCCCGGAGTCCCCCTCACCCCCTCTTTCCTCTATGGGGCTCATCCGGCCAACTGCCGGGAAGGGAACGTTTCTCCCCTTTGCCCAGAGAAGTCGAGATCTGCCATTTGGCATCCTCGTCCCGAAGACTCTCGACTTTCCGACTGGAAGGAAAAAGACAAACGTCTTTCTTTCTTTCTTTCTTTCTTTCTTTCTTTCTTTCTTTCTTTCTTTCTTTCTCTTCGCTATCAACTGATTGCGCTGTTGTTTTGATGGCTGGTTCGCCATGTACTAGTGAAGGGTGACTAACTTGCGGCCCTCCAGATATTGTTTCTTTACTTATTGAATTTATATACCGCCCTGTACTCAGAGGTTTCAGGGCGGTTCACAGAACAAAATCAAAATAGAAAACCACAAAAAATGTAATAAAAATAAAACAACCCAATACCCCCCCCCCAAAATTGTTGGGCCCCAGTTCCCACCCTCTTTGGTTACTGGGCATGCTATTTGGGGTTGGTGAAAGTTAAGAGGCCAACCCGATCTGGAGGGCTGCAGACTAGTTGCTGTTTAGTATTTTATTAATCACCCACCCTACACTCGTAAGGTCCCAGTTGTTTTAATTGTTGTCAGAATGACACACACAAAGGCAAGACATGATAATAAGGTAAAGGTACCCCTGCCCGTACGGGTCAGTCTTGACAGACTCTAGGGTTGTGCACCCATCTCACTCAAGAGGCCGGGGGCCAGCGCTGTCCGGAGACACTTCCGGGTCACGTGGCCAGCGTGACATCGCTGCTCTGGCGAGCCAGAGCCGCACACGGAACGCCGTTTACCTTCCCGCTAGTAAGCGGTCCCTATTTATCTACTTGCACCCGGGAGTGCTTTCGAACTGCTAGGTTGGCAGGCGCTGGGACCAAACAACGGGAGCGCACCCCGCCGTGGGGATTTGAACCGCCGACCTTTCGATCGGCAAGCCCTAGGCGCTGAGGCTTTTACCCACAGCGCCACCCGCGTCCCTTAAGACATGATAATAGCTTGTGTTTAATGTAATAAGCTCCTCCACCTCAGGAGAGGACCCCAAGCACAGGTGAATTTCTTCCCAACCTCTGATGGGAGTGACCTCCAGGAATATCTGCCGACTTTCACACTTAACCTCCCTTTAAAGTAGTGGAGGCCTGCTCTGTTCTCTGCTTCCCAATATGCTGGTATTTGTCTGGCTGTCCTGTTTAAATCTCAATGCTTATAATACCACCAGAGTGTTTGTTTGCATGACAAACAGCCCCTGGTTAGATAGTAAATTCAAAGTGGTTCCCACTCCCATTCTTCCTCTGGTTCTTCCTCCTACTATTGCTTACCATTTTCTGCCCTTTCCTCAAATGGCTCCTGTGCTTGCACTGAACTGCATACAAAAGTTCAAAAGAGCTCATAAAGGTGTCTCTGAATTCTCAACATCTTATGATAGTTTTTTCATGCCTGGCAACTCTGCCAGAAAACTTCCATTTCATTTTGTGCTCCCCTTCTGTTGTAAGGCACATGTGTGCATAGCAACTCAGCAAATCAATAAGTCAAAATTCCTTTCCTGTTGCATCTTCTTTCGTATCTCCAGTCCAAACCTCAAAAGAAGCTGCTTTGAGTGTGGTAATCCATAGCACTTGTTCTCATGTCACACTGTGGAGTTTCCTGCCTGTATGAATTGATCATGTAGGAGAACGTAGTGATCACAAAACTAGTTTAGTTGTGGGATCCAGTCTATGGGCAGTCTTAAAGAGACATTTGGACAGACCGCTTTTGAATTCTTTAGATGTGATACATGTTTTAATCATATGGGTTGGAGTAAAGTATTAATTGGGTCATCTCTGGTTGTGTAATTCTGTGGGCATGACCGTAGGTTGGTCTGTAACAGGTAAGCAACAGACTGAGAGGACTTCTGTTACCATTTGCAAGATTAGGGAAGTTTTTAATGTTTGATTCTATTTTTAATATTCTGTTGGGAGCTGCCCAAAGTGGTTGGGGAAACCCAGCCAGATGGGTGGGGTATAAATAATTTTATTATTATTATTATTATTATTATTATTATTATTATTATTATTATTATTATTAACACCTCGCCCTGTGTAGGTTGCCACTGTACTTGAGACCAATTCCTATATTAATGAATTGACCCTAAAGTTTGCGTGTACCACTTAATGTAAATTGCCCTGCACATAAAGCAAAAACAATTTTTTATTGTGGTATTTTAAGTCTACAGCAGTGATATATTGTGCTAGACACTAGTTTTTCAGATGTACCACACTGTATTTTGTTGTGTAAATGGCCACAAAAATTGTTTGGTTTTGCTGCAGCAAGATATCATGGCTATTCTTTTTGTATTTGCCTCATAAAACACTTTAACATTTGAGCAGGATATTTATGCAAGATTGCACTAGCTGTTTTAGTGAAAAAATATTTCCACTGCAAATCATCCTTTACGTGGAGGTAGTTAACTGCATAATTTGTTTTTCATGTAACTAGAAAAAGGTAACATAGAGGACTTGCACGATTTACTAAATGTACAAAATAAGGGTGATCCTTGCATATGCCGTCTCATAAAAGTCAGCTCTAGTTTTATTTCATTGTGCACCTGCTTGGTTTGTGGTCCTGAAACTTCCAAGCAACTGTAAGCTTCCTTTGGAACTGGCAGTATGGCTAGCTAGTTGATGGATAAATGTGACATCTGCTCTAAGGATAGGCCAGCTGGTCCCTTTTCCCCACTGCTTGTACAACCACTTACTGCCATCTTTCTTTTTAGCGCGAGGTGGAGATTCTTATGTTCCTCAGTGCCATTGTGATGATGAAGAACCGCAGATCCAGTAAGTAATGCTTGTTCTTTATCTCTCTCTTTTTGGAGTAAAGCTTACAAATGATTCAGAAAAGAAAGATTTCACAGCTGGCTTTAACCTGTATTGAAATCTTATTTTCTTTAAAATCAGTATGGTCCAGTCAGTATGTTTTGGACAAATAGCTGGTACAGAATAGGATGTAAGTGGGATGAGGTTGTGCCAAAAATTCACACAGAAGCAGAAAGCACCTAAATGATTTGAAAAGTTTTAAGATGAATAGCTGCTGCTGGGCCCATGTTCCTCTGCCACAATCGGTGCATTGTCTCTGTGCATTCCTGCTGTAGGAGTGGCTTCAAAAGGTGACCTGTCTGTTTCTTTTGTTTTCTGTTCCATAATACAAAGATATGGAGGCCAGCAGGGCAAAGCTTCCATGTGCCAAGACTAGGTGTATTATGGGTGAGATTAAGTGAAGGTCAATATGGAGGTGATAAGAATATAGCAGAGAACAGTGACCGCCTACAATGAAAGGATATGCAGAATGTGGGGTTTAGCTTGAAATGATATGGGAAGCAGGAAAATAACACACTTACTAGTACCACTCGCAGGAAAAGCCACAGCAAATGCTGTAAAATACCAAACTGTACAGTTAGCCTAGGACAGCACTCGTTTGACAAGAGAACTACACTGTGTGTGTGTATCTATCAATAGGCATTCTAAATATGTAATTGTCTTGCACAGAAAGCTTCCACAAATTTTTAAAAAGTTAAGCTTCAGTCAAAATTCCAGCTTGTTACTGGGCCTATCAGCCATAAGAATGTGCCTCTTTCTCTCTCTCAAGTTACTGTGGACCAGCATGTGGGAAACATCTTCATGTTCAGCAAAGTAGCCAATGTCATCCTTTTTTTCCGCCTTGACATCAGAATGGGACTGCTCTACCTCACCCTCTGTATAGGTGAGTCATCCTAGTTATATCCTAGTTCTAGTTCTAGTTATATCAATTGAGGAGGACTTGGACGTCATAAATAATAGGACTTTAGATGCAAAATCCACCAGTTCTGCATTACCACATAATAAATCTTTCATAATTCCTCTATTTTGGGGCTTTATTCTTGTTTATAGGGCAATGCCAACTTGCATTAAGTGGAAATAAGACTACCCCATGATTGCCATATCTAACACTGCAGCTGGAACCTGCTGTCTGAATTCCATTTTCTTGAGCTATTGGAGGAGGGCTGTGGGCTGGAGGAATCTTCATTCCTGGCAAGAGGAGACTATAATCCAGGGAAGATTTTGAGAATTCTGCCAATATCAAAAGCAGGGAGGAGCCACAGCTTTTATAGAGCACCCACCTTGGAGAGCAACTGCTAGTCATTTTAATAGACAATACTGTAGTAGGTGGACAAAAACTCTGGTCCCATATAAAGCAGCTTCCTAATCCCATCCCAGCATAGTGCTAAACCAGGGGTCAGCAAACTTTATCAGCAGGGTGGGGTGGTCCACTGTCCCTCAGACCTTGTCGGGGGCCGGACTATATTTGGGGAGGGGCGAATGAACGAATTCCTATGCCCCACAAATAACCCAGAGATGCATTTTAAATAACAGGACACATTCTACTCATGTAAAAACACGCTGATTCCCGGACCATCCACGGGCCGGATTTAGAAGGCGGTTGGGCCGGATCTGGCCCCCGGGCCTTAGCTTGCCTACCAATG